ACGGCCCGCATGCAGCTCTTGCTGGTGTAGGGGAGCGCCACCTGCAATGGGCACACGGGGGGGGGGGGACAAGGTTACCTTCCCCAGGGTCTCGGGATTGCTGCACCTGGCCCAACCACAGCACTTCTGCCCGCTCCCCGCAGTGCAACTTGCAGTGTCTGCTGCATGGTCTTTCCCCTGCCCATTGCACAACCTCAGCATCCCTCCCACTCTCCCTGCCCCCACTGGGCCCTGCAAGGAGAGAGGAAAAGCACTGAGTCAGTGAAAAGGCACTCGGCGTCTCTCCTTGATGCCGTAGCTTTGGGCCTCTGGGACCCAGCTGCAGCAATGCAGGGAGCGGAAGCGCCTGCTCATCAGAACGGGTTTCCAGGCGCGGCAGGCAGCTGCGTGTCAGCTGCGCTCCCTTCTCTGGGACCCCAGGGTCACGGCTGGGCTGGAGGGGTGGAGATCAGTCCTGGCCCTTGCCGCGTCCTGCCGCCCCCTCACCTCCTTGGTAGAGCTCTCCACAAAGGGACCTCCGAACATAGCAGCCATCCAGTCGCAGCTGGAGATCAGCAAGGGCTTGTGGGCACTGATAGCACCGTCATCCAGGATAAAGGTGACATCTGCAAGCAAGCACAAGGACACCCGTCACAGCTGGTCACGGCCTCCTGGCTGCCACCATGGGCTGCAGCCTGCGATAGCATCTCTGTCCTCCCCTACAAGAGACCCCATGGTGATCCTACTCGCAGCCCAGGGGTGGTGGTCTCCCCAGGGAAATATGCTGGAGCACCGACAGAGTGAGAGGGGCTGGAAACCATTTCCACAACGTGTTCTCCAAGGTCCTCTGGACTGCAGCACCTCTCCCCTCTTGGCAGACGGCTTGAAACCAGGACAGCTACCCCACCCCACTGGGAGCAGGTATTGTTACTCAAGTGTCATAGAGGAGGATTTAGTGACGTAGCTTTGGCAGAGCTGGGAATAAAAGGGACCTATTCTCCTGGCTCGCTCTCCAGCTTGGCCCTCCTATATACTCTGGGGTCTGAAGTCTAATAAGAGGGCAGTGGCTGGCCTGTATGTTGGCCTCTCCATTGGCCTCCAGTGGAACGAATGCAGTCAGCATGATGCAAGGACCCCGAGGAAGTTGCCTCGAAATGACGTTGTCCTGTGTCACAGCACTCAACCTGACAGCAACCAAATGCAACTACAGAGCCTCTGGCAGGGATGCCAGACCCAAAAAGGCCCCTTTAATGGCAGGATCCCCCTCCTCCAGTTGGGACGAAGGAAGCCGAGTTCCTGCAGCTGCTTCCGTTTAAATAACCCGAGCTGGAAAGCTGGGTGAGGGCCCGAACCCTGTGGCAAACCAGACACTCGAGCTGGGCTTTCTGGGGAAAGTGTATAACCTGGTAAGTTATATAAAACCTGCCCTTGAAAGGAGCCAGCAGCACTAGGGACAGGTTTACATTGGCAGCTCGGTCGGGGGCAAAGGCCTCTCAAATCACCAGCGTAGCTCCAGCCGGGATCTCAGCAGCGAGGACTGCCCTGTTAATGCAACAGCCCGGCTTGCATGCATCAGCCCTTTTGCCCAGTCCGGTTCCTGCAACTCTGTCGTCCTTGGGCTCTTTCCTAACGCTGCCAGCAAAGTGTAGAGGCAGCGGCCATGGAAATGGACCCCCGCACAGGAACGGGACTGTGATGCCCCAGCTCGCGCAAACTTAAACACCAAACAGCCACCCAGTGCTGCTGACTGCCAGTCAATATGGGCCCGGACCACAGACGGAGGAAGAGATCTCTGCGTCCTGCTCAAGGGCTTAGGAGAGACTCGGGGAAAACTCCCTGCAATGTGCCCAGGTTTGGGGGAGAGACAGCTCAGCATGTCACCCCCAGGTCCAGAATCTGGGAAGGCTCCTTATGTCGCATGCCTAGGTGGGCAGGAGAGACTCCTCCTGCCATCCACTTGCCTAGCGAATGCGTGAGGTTTTCTATGCCATGACTAGACTGAGGGGTGGAAGGGGACCCTGGGCCCCAGCCAAGCTTGGGAAGAAGTATAAAAACCTCCCAAGCTCTCCGACCCCTAGTTTCTTCCTGCTATGGGGATTGAGCCTCCGCCACAGAAGCAACCCGTTCATCTTCTGGCAAGCTCTGCTGCAGGCCGTACCAGAAAAGGTCCCCTTGGCCAGGCACTCCTTCACACGGTTGGTCCTCCTGACGTGGAAGGCTTTGGTGATCTCCTGGTTCATGAACGCCTCGTTGTTCAGGATGTTGGCCACCATCATCCGGAGATCGAAGACCTCCAGCAGCTCCGCTATGTGGGCAATGTGCATGAGGTCCCTCTCCTCGTCCAGCTCCCCCGTGTACAGGTACTTGAGCACAGCCCGGAAGGGCCCCGGCTGAATGGAGGGGTCCATTTTCACCACCACCATAAGTTTGGACTTGTAGGTTAGAGGGTCGTCCACCATCTCCTCCTGGATGCTGACAAAAGCCCGGCTCCAGGAGGAGAGGTCTCTCCCCCGCCGCAGCCCCCGCTCCCCGTTCTCATAGCTGTTGCCCCTTAGGATCCCGTCGCTGGTGGACGCTCTAAGGCACGGTTTTCGCTGGCCGGAGCCGGCCTCCTCGGCGCTCTCGCAGATGTCAAAACTGGCGGCTCTCAGGAGGAAGTCGCGCCCGTGGTGCCTCTCCTCCTGGTGCAGCACCCGCTCGGCGGCAGTGGAGACGGTGGCTCCTGCGCCACTCCCTGCCGTGCCCTGCTGGTCGTCCTCGCTCAGGTCCATCAGGAACAGGTCGTAGAACTTGGAGGAGGAGGTGGAGAGGTAGATCTTGTGTGCGTAGATTTTGATCCTCTCTTGCAGCACCAGGATGACGTCTGCGCACAGTGGGTCCTCCAGCAGGTGAGCCGGGCGCTCCTCGTTATTGGAAGGAGGGTCTGGCACCAGGATGATTGGCGGCGGGGGCTTCGGGGGCAGGAAAGGAGCCTGGAGCAGCGGCCGCTGGACGTTACGGAGGTGAGACTTCCAGAACTGCAGGTGCCGGCGGGAGATGAGGGCCGCCCGGATGGCGTTGTCAAAGACGTCCTTGATACCGAACTGAGCCACCACGCTGGTCTCGTAGTAGGGGATGCCCAGCTCCTTGGCCACTTCCCTCCCCTTCTCGGGGGGTAAAATCTCATTGGGCTTGATGGGTCTGGAAGAGAGAGGGGTGGAAAACCACAGTGAATACGGTCCTTCAGAGCACGCGGCAATGGGCAAGGGCAGCTGAGGATGCGCAGCACCAGGGGCGCGTAGGGCAAATAGCGCGTCCCATAGCACGGCAGGCTGCCTGAGGCCAGGGGCTGAGATGCCCCTTCTGGGCTTTCCTGCTTTTGTCATCTCCTCTCTGCAAACACCCTCCTGCCCCCAGCATGGGTCTCCCTGGTGCCCTTGCTGATCTCCAAAGCCCGCTTCTCTGAATCTTTACCTAGCCAAGGGTCTCCGGGCTCGGTTGACTGCCTCTAGGTCAGCATAGCGAAGGTCGAGCTGGCAGCCCACGAGGATGACGGGTGCTCGGGGACAGAAGTGCTTGATCTCGGGGTACCACATGGTCTTCACGTGGTGTAGGGAGTTGGGGTTAGCAATGGAGAAGCACAGCACCACAACATCTGACCTAAGAGCAGAGGGAGGGCTCTGTTACCATTTGGTCCCCATGGATGTGTAGTACACGCTTGCCCCCTGCCAGAACCAGGTGTGCGAATGCCTGTGCATACACCCTGCACAGGAGCTGGACTCCCAGTAACCAAGCTGCAACGTACAAAGTCCTGGGTAAATTGGCCCACGTGGGAATCGGCTTCACTCATCTGTAACATGCCTTCCCCATATGGGGAGGTCAGTGCTCCCCTGGGGTCCCCTGCATGCTTCCTGCTCATGTCCACCCATTCTGCCAGGGGGTTCAAAGCATGCGTGTGGGAGCTAACCCCTCCTCTCCCAGTGCAGCGTGCACTTCTCCTTATAAAACACAGCTCCTCTTTCGATGCATTTACTCCTCCTCTTTCCTAGCCCTGCTGGAAGGACCCGCTCATCGTCCTACCTGCCATAAGCAAAGCGCCTGTCTTTGTGATGGTCTCCGAAGGTATCCCAGAGTCGCAAGGACACGCTCACATCATCCACCACGTCTCGCGAGCGCTCCAGCACCTGGGGAAGCAGAGGAGGCGAGGGACTGTCAAGCAAGGCAGGAAAGGCCGTTTCCAGGGAAGTGAGGTGGGGACAGGTTGTCGGCCAGCTTCTCTCTTGCTCCGTGCCCAGGACATTTAAAGGGGAGTTAACGCCACTGCTGGCACTGATGCGGGGCGAGAATGTGCTGGGCCGAGCCTTTCTTTGGCTCGAGCGGATCCAATGCAATCGCATCAGCTTCCTGCTTTGATGCGGAGCTTGTCTGCAAGACTCCCGGCCCCCGGCTCCAACCGAGGCAGTAAACTGGGGTGGCTGCAGAGCCGGTGCTGCCCGCAACCAGACGCTCCTTACCTCCTGGCAAACGCGGTACTGGTCGATGGCCCAGACCGTGGGCACGTGGGTGGCGAGAAGCTGGTACTGGGTCAGCGTGGCATTGCAGGCACGGGCACAAATGAGCCTGGTCTTGCCCACGGCGTTGTCCCCAACCACGACGCACTTGATAGTTTCTACGTTTGGCCTCTCATAATCCATGTCAGAATCCATTAATTGGGACCTGCAGGGGGAGAGAGCAGCAAATTGCTGAGGGGGCTCTGCATTGCATGCTCGGTCGGCCTCTGCTTTCCCTGCTCCCCAGAGGCTTTTGGGCTACCCCTGAGAGGCAGAGGACTCCCACAGAGGCTCCTGATCTACTCCAGCCTCCTTCTCCTGACCCACGCTTCTCCATACCAGCTCCACGGAAAGAGTTCCCTGCAGAACGAGATCCAGGGGATGGCAAACCCCCTAGGAAGCACCTATAAGCAAGCCTAATTGCCTGCGAATCGGGTAAGACCACACCCCTGGCATCCAGCCTGGGTCCCCCTTCACCGGCTGAAGCAGGTAGGAAAGGCAACTCGCCCCGAGTCTCTGTTCTTGCTGGGAGGGGATGCCAGGGCTGTCCAGCCCAGTGGGGAGCTGTTGTGAAACGGCGCGTGTGGGCAAAGTCCAGCGCCCAGGCACACTTGCTCAGGAGTGCTGCTTTATCCTCTCGCACCATACGCACAAGACCTGGCTCAATGGGAGTCCCTCATGGTCCACGCCTGTCTCTGCAACGTGCCCTATAGAGGGGCAGCAGCACGGCGAGAGGACTCGCTTCGTCTCTCACGCACCCAGAACAGCTTCTCTGAGCGGGGCACCTCGTGCAGGCTCCTGGCAAACCCCTCCCCAATCGCCGCACGCGCGTGGCCCAGGCTGCAGCGAGCGTGGCAGGCAGCCTTCCCTGCTCCCCCGGTGCCACCCGCCGAGGGCCACGCTGCCCGAGACAGCTCCGAGCAGAGCAGCACGCAGCAGCCCTTGCAAGGGGAAGCGAGCCAAGGCAGCTCCCCACCCCTTCCCGGCATGCTCTCCAAGCAGGTTCCCTTTAAAATTTAATGGGCTCATGGAAGCGTGTGCTGCTCTGCCTCGCAAGACACATGCCCCGTCTGCCTGACTCGGCCCTCCTCCCTCCTGGGTCTTTCTGGCCCAGGCTCCTGCCTGTTCGTGTGAGATGCGTTATTTTTCCTCCTCCTTTCTCCCTTCCCAGCACTTGCGAGCGAAGCTTCCTGATCCACTGACTGAGCATGGACTTCAGACCCTGGCCTTCCCCCTCCACCCTCGGTCCCGCCAGCTGGATGCCCCCCTCAGCGCCAGGCTGGCACGCAGGCAGAGGAAAGCACGGCGCTCTTGTGAGCAGCCTGAAGGGCACAGCCGAGCCCTCGCGGGGCTGGCAGCTCCCTGCCTGTGCCGTCACTGGACCGACTGGCACCGGGGCCACCGCAGCCCGCTGCATTCCCATTTGGACGAAGTAGCCACGACAGCATTCAGGCCCCTGGAAGGGACGTCTGCTCTCCCCTGCAGGCACGAGCGCCTTCGTGTGGCTGACGCCCTTATGGGGAAGTTCGTACGACTGCCTCTGCAGGGGGTGCTTTTGGGGGCGTTCCTGCTGCGGGAGTTGTGCCTGGGCCCCAAGACACTGATGTTCCCCAACGACGGTGCAACGTCACCGTTGCTCTTCCCTGCCCAGGGCACCTGAGGATGTGCTCAGCCCCTTGCAGGATCGGGCCAAAAGGCTGAGCATAGCAGGCCGGAACCACAGCCGTACCAAGCGGGGTCTCTCCCCGTGCCGGCACGTTTCGGAACAAGTTTCTCCCAGAGCCGAAGCCGTTTCAAATGAGCAAGCTGCCCCTGCTGTGCTGCGCCTCTCCTTCATCCTTTAGGCAACGAGCACGTGCCTCTGAGCACAGCCGTGCGAGGGCCGGAAGTGAGACTGAGCACCAGGCTCAGGTACCGCCCTGATGGGCACGGGCAGGGGAAACTTGCCTGATATAGGCCTGCTTTCTCCTCTGCCCGTTTGTCCAGCCCTGCTAGTATTTTTCTCACAGCAGTTGGTTATCAGCAGTGCAAATACAAGATCTGTAAATGTAAAAAGAAATGCTGCAGTATGCCAATCATCTTACCTCATACTCGAAGTCTTCTGTTCTATCTGCATCAGCAGGCAGGCTGGAAAGATAGTCGTTACCTTCGTAAAATTCAT